TTGCGAAAAATATCACCTCAGCCAGGATTCGAACGTAAGATCTTCCTATTTGTCGAGTGTCCTACCATTTGATTACCGAGGCATATGATGATATTTATTGCAATAACTAATATATGTAAACAATGAAGGCACCGTATTATACAAAGATAGTAAATTGCTAATCATATATATTATATTTCTTTTTGTGCGCGAGCGCGCGGCGTGTGCGCATATGTGCACGCGTGTATGTTGTTCACGCCATAATTATTTGAACTGATGCTTTGTGCAATTTTCGAGAAATTTTGTCCCGAAAAAGATTAAGCGTAATTAAAAGTTTTGCATGAAAATTTATTTGACAATTAGATACTTGCCAGAAATAATTAAACTATTTGGAAATAACACTTGTAATTAAATTTAAAAAAAATCTAAAATTTTTTCAGATTTTTTCCTATTATTACATATTATTGTTATACTTGCTAGTTGTCACTCTGCTTGAAGATGAATAATGTCTATTCAGAAAAGAGAGATAATGGAGAGCAGTGGTTCAGGATAAGAAAAAAAGAAATGTAGGTAACGTTAAAAAAGGTACAAGCATATCCAATCGTGATAGTGGGGAACACCATGAGGGGTTCATTGACCTCTGGTGCAACTGTTATTGATCGAAGAGGAATAGCAAGATTGTTCTAGCATATATTATACGGAATTACTTGTTCTCGATAAGCAAAATAAGCCATTTGCATGAGCTTAATTACGATGATTTTTATGAAGGTCATATCTCTTCAGTTTTTTCTTGAATTGATTTTAAGTTCGTTTTGCTAAAGAGAGGAGGGAAGAAGAAAAAAATGCGAAAGAAACAAGAAGAGAACATAAGGAAGGAGCGAGAGGGAGGGGGGGGGGAAGAAGAGAAAATAGTTCGAGAAAATTCGAAGAGAAAATTCAACCATAGATCCAATAAAAATCAGGTTATCTCTTTACCGACCTCACTACTATATCAGATTTTGTGTTCTCTAATCCAGTTTGATTCTATTTTGTGCGCGTGGCATTTTATCTTCATGAAATTGTTATTTATAATTGAACGTTAAAAACAATTAAAAAAAAAAAATATATATATAACCCAGGATGTTCCAAAAAGATCGGGACCCCAGAATATCTTAAAAAATATAAGTTTTACAGAAAAGGGTTTTGGACAAAAGTTGTAGAGTTTAAAAAGCTCTACATATTTATACTGATCTTTATCGACTTGATGTTGGGTGGTGTCGCCAAGGTCAGGTAAAGTTCATATTAATTTTTTTAAATGGAACACTATTTTATACTTCAGAATCTAATAGCTGGTACCAAGTGCTTTCTAAAGCACTATAATAAAGTATTTTTTAATTAAGTAAATCTCGAATTATGAAGCTTGAAAGTTACAGTACCGCCGGCATTAGCATCATCCAAGATGTCCGAACAATGGCTAAAACTTTTTGAATGTTGCTCAGGATCATGACAACAATATATCAAGATCAAGGCTATTATAAAGGTTGTTGCTTTTATTTTTATTTTTGAAAATTATTTTTATTTTTTGAAAAAAAGAGAAACAATCTCCAATGTTCATGACTTTGACTTACATATGTTGTCAAGCTTATGATCTCGAACAATATTCAAATGGTTTTAGCTATTGTTCGGACATCTTGGATAATGCTAATGCCGACGGTATTTTCAAGCTTTATAACTCGAGATTTACTTAATCAAAAAATACTTTATTATAGTGCTTTGGAAAGCTCTTGACACTAGCTATTATATTCTGGAATAAAAAATAGGGCGGTTCCTTTTAAAAAAATTAATGTGACTTTTACTTTGGCAATTGCCACTCAAGGTCAAATCGATAAGATCAGTAAATAAATTTTTAACTTATTTTTCCATGTTGAATAATTTTCTGTCTTGTACCATCCATCCTGGCTCAATCTATATAAAATAGTTTGTTCATTTACGTATCTTATATATTATATATATATATGTATACAGGGTGTCCCGTAAAGACCGTAACAAATTTAAGGATAAATTCTTGAGAGTATTTTAAGATGAAAATCTCGAAGTAAAATGTTAAGGTTATAATAGTTTTGGAATTAAAAATATCATTAAAGGCAATTTTTTATCTTTGTATACATAATTTTTATATCGAATAAGTGAGATGATAGTTAGCTTTCATCTTTAGCACATTGCGTTGTATCACATATAAACGTGCTAACTTTAGACGATCTGATCTAATAATTTTAAAAGCTTATAATTTAAAAACTATTATAGTTTTGACATTTTAGTATTATGATTTAAAATGATCTAAAAAAGCTATCCTTAAAAACGTTGGTCTTTATGAGATACTCTGTATGTGCGTATGCGCGCGTATGTGTGTGTGTGTGTGTATTTTCTTACATTGGTTAATTTTAAACAATAAGCTTAAAAGATAATTTAAGAGGATGATGAAAGGTCGGAACTACCGACACATTACATTTTAGTAAATTTCTTCGAATTGACTGAACGGAATTGAAAATCCTTTCACAGGATTGAAATACACATAAAATTGTGGTGTGAGACGGACGAATTTGTAGTAAAATTAGAAAAAAATTAAAAAACAGCTATCACCTGACTTAAACATTTCAGTGTAAAAGTTCTGTAGCTCATATGTACAAAATGCTTACACACACTACAGATTACATGAACGAATAATACAAAGCCTTTTGAACTACGATTGAAAGCGTAGAAAAAAAGATATCCACTAAACTGTAATTTATGGTAATTTGTACGTTTAGCTAAAATACAGAATGATAAATACAGCAAAAATTGCGTCTAGCAGTAAGTGTCGGATTTTGCAAGAGATGGCGTTTCAATAAGTTGAATAAGGACAATGCACGTGTTTGAATAAGACAGCAGATATTGTAAGAAGTTCATTTAGACATATTATTGACATTGAAGAATCTGTTTTATCAACCTCGTGCAAATTTTTCCGACTTTTCAGCATCCTCTTAATATCCAAAACCTATCCAAAAACTCTTAAAAAAAGAAGAAAAAAATATTTAAGCCAAGTATATAAAAAAGTATTGTACGTTACACCTTTCCAAAAATATTTTTTTAACGAATGAAATATGAAATCGAATATATTTTCTATATTACACTTTCTAAAAAAAGTTATTAAGATTGTTCAAAAATAAATATGAGATTGCACAAGTGGCCAAGCAGATAAAAAAAGTCGAGTAATCCTGTGAGTACAGCACTGGCATTATCTGGAAAGCTGAACTTACAAAAACATCCTACGCTTAATTGCCATGAATTTTGACAGCGCCTTGAGAAATGATGTCAAATAAAAGCCCTTAAATAGATTTTCATAGCAAAGTTTAATCCCAAAAATGTTTAAATAAAGTTATATATTTGATTAGACATAAAGATAAAAATATTTTTTTAATAAATCGTTTAAATCATACAAAAGTATATGCAGCAAAAGTACCTTGTCTTGCTTCATAAGCTGGGGGATGTGTGTATAACAATATATAACTTTATTTAAACATTTTTGGGATTAAACTTTGCTATGAAAATCTATTTAAGGGCTTTCATTTGACATCATTTCTGTCAAAATTCATGGCAATTAAGCGTAGGATGTTTTCGTAAGTTCAGCTTTTCCGATAATGCCATACTCACAGGATCACTCGACTTTTTTTAACTGCTTGGCGACGCGACGCTACCGTTTCGCTTGAAATTAATACCTTACGAAATACTTTTTATGCTTAAACATATAAAATAAAATATAAAATATTTTTAATTTTTAGATAAATCTTTATTTTTAAGCAGAATGATTAGAAAAATTATATTATTATGTAAGAAAAATAATTAGAAAAATCAAGTTGCTCTTGAAATCTCTTTTATGCTTCTACGTACAATAAAAACATTACTTTTATATTACATTTTTCTAAAATCTATTTTCTATTTATTTATCTTCTAAATTTATCAAAATCTTATTTAATTTTTTATTAATTAATAATTTAATATTTTTAACTTTTTTAATATTTTTCGCAATATGTAAGTTATTTTTCACAGGATTTAATAGATATTATACGAACATTGATTTATTAGATTACCGATTGGCAATTTAATTTTGATATTACGTACTATTCGGTTTGGAGCTGCGTTGAAAGTCCGGCGATATGCGGCGTGTGGTTTATTTGAACCAAAAAAGTTATAAGATTCACATTTTAGAATATTACAGAAGCACTAAGATCCGCTTTGATCATGTTGGCGTTTTCCGTTCTTAATTGTTAATAACTTTTATTAGAATTAAAATAAATTTTGTTTTCATTATGCAAAATAGCAAAAATATTTTATGAGCAAATTAATCACTCTATATGTATGCGTATATGCATTCATGCATATGTGTAATTAATTTTTTTATACAAAATAAGAAATTACGAACAAATAAAAATTTATTAGAATTCATGTGAATTAATTGTATATATTACATTTGTCGAGTTTTATATATTAGATTAATACAAATTAGAGAGTTTAATATACAAAGATTAATATAAAGATGTATATTATTATTATTATTAATATGTAATAATGATATAACTTTAATATTTCAAAAAGTGTACGGTTTTATTCTTATAACAGAATATTAAAGTAATAAAATATAAAATAAAATATCAAATAAAATATAATAAAACATATAAGATTATTAACATATAACATTATTATATTTTATTTGATTAATTTTTTATCTTATTTAATTTATCTACGATGGCGAATTTTATTTTATATTTCTGAAAAAAGTTTTTATTGAATCAAAATATAAAATCGATTTTATGTATTATTTATTAAATGATGAAATATTATTTGTCATTAAATAGTGATAAAACAAAAAATATTTAAAAATAATTATTTTGTAAAATAAATAGTATATTTATCAATCTGATTTTATGAGTTTAATCTGCTAAATTAGAACCATCTGACGTTAGAATAATCTGCTTAATAAATTAATATGTTTGTTTATGTTGTAGGTCAGCAAGGCCAGCAGAGCGAGCAGGAACTGGCGACGAAAATGTTGCAAATTCAAAGTAAAAGATTCTACCTTGACGTAAAACAAAACAGACGTGGGAGATTTATCAAAGTCGCGGAGGTATATCATTTTATCTTTTAATTTAATTCTCAACATGTACTATTTAAAGATCTCATGGCACAAGCATTAATAATAAAATATTAAAAATACATTTTTACCATATATGTATAAAGATAGTGCATTGTAAAAATATTTTTTTGAAGTCCAAAAAATGGGTGAGAAAACAGATCTTTTTGTCGTCACTTTTTCTTAGTTTCAATTTTTTGAGTCCAAATTTTTAATTCAGTCATTTAAAATCTGTGACGACGAAAACTAGAGATTTAACAAAATTTATTGTATTTATGGAGATTTACAATAATATTTTTAGATTTTACAAATAGTCTTTTACAAATATATACTCATTTTATTAAAATTATATAATCAAACAATTTGATAATTTATGTAAAATCTTAATTTTGTAAATCTTACTTTTTAATATATCCTGTAAAATGGATTGAAAAATATAATTTATGTAATTGGTTTTTTATTTCAGATTGGAGCGGATGGAAGAAGAAGCCAAATCTATCTGGCACTCAGTACAGCATCCGAATTTCGGGACCATCTGTCTACATTTAGCGATTTTTACGCATCTTTAGGTACTCATTAGAATATATTACTGTAGCAACTATCAATTACAATCCAAATCTGAGTTCAAAAATATAATATTTATATAAATATTGAAATATCTAATATATATTAGGAGTGTGATTTAGTTTTGAAGATTTTGCAAGATGTGGCACTAATGTCAGTGTTGTCGGAGACATTTCAATCACAGTTATTGTTTCTTAATGTTTTAATATTACTCCATGATGTTTAATCATTTACTAATACTAGACGCAGTAAATATCTTGTTTATACCATCTTAAAAATGGAGCTTCCTAAAGTGCATTTTCGACCTCGTGTTGCATTATCAGTGAAGTAAACGCTATTAGAATTGAAAAGGGAAAGTCTTACCCCGCGTATTCTCTAGACATTGCTCCATCTGATTATTACTACTTGTTCCGATCGATGCAACATGCTCTAGAGGATACACATTTTCATAATTTCGAACAAGTGCGAAAATTTGAGAAAATTGGATCAAAGAAAATCTTTTTATTGTTGCGGGACCCATCTTTTGATATAAAAAGTTATAGAAAACGAAGAGAAATATTTTGATTAAGATAACTGTATAATAAATTTTTTTTTGAGAAAAAAATCTTTAAAACTAAATCACACTCCTAATATATTCAAATATAGATAAAAAATATTTATAAAATTTATAAAATTTTTTTTACTTTTAAAAAGTAAATTCAGAAATATGTGCCAAAGTTTGTTTCTGAAAAACTATTAAATTTCTTACAGATAATAAATTTTTTATATAAAAATAAATACTAGAATATAGGACAAGCTAATAAAATAATACGTAATACAAGAAGATAAAAAAATTAAATACATATTCAACTTATGTAGATAAGAAAATATCGTTAGTTCATGAAAATTCGTACATTTTTTGTAGTAATTTTCAGCTGTTTGAAAAAATTATAATATAATCTCATGCAATATAAATTTGATAAAGTGATGGATTATGAAAATCCAACAAACAATAACTAACGAAACAAGAATTCTTTAATTGCACAAGGAATGGTTTGCAATTCAGAAATCTAAAAATATTGTGTAACTTTGACAATACATAGAGTATGTTTTGATATCTAACAAATTTTTTTAGAGCTTGAATTCATTCTAAAGGATTAAAAAATCGATCTCTAAAAGTTCGTTTTTGTTTTTTATTATTCTTCAACAAAAAGAAATAGAACAAAATTTTATAGAAAAATCTTAATTCTTTTAATAAGATTTATCAATTATAACACTTATTAATTGTTTAAAGAATTATAAAAATGTATAAACAGAAAACAGGAAAAATATATTCTCAACATTTTTATATTTTTAATATGGCTTTTATAATATATTTCATAATATATTAATATACATGTTTTTACTTAATCTTATTTACTTATATGAATAAAATTTAAAAAATACGTGTAAATATATACAAAACATAAATATATACAAAATATAAACATGTATAATACATTAATACATGTATAATAATAATAACAATATATTACATTGGAGCGGTATGAATATACAAAAAACATTTTTAAAAATACTTATTTAATTTATCTGAATTATTTCTGGTGATTATGAAACTTCAAAGAAATATTCGAAATAAAGAAATTTCTTATACTATGAATAAATAAAAGAATATAAGGAAAATATATTCTTCCTGCTTTTATTTGTGCATTTTTATAATTCTTTAAACAATTAATAAGTTTTCTATTTGATGGATTTTATCAAAAGAAATTTTCTCTTTTGTTCTATTTTTTTTGTTGGCAAATAAAACAAAAACGAAAAATGGGCTAACTTTTGGGAGTTGAACGTACCTCTTTATGCAACAAAAAGACCTTTTATGTCCAAAATTTTATAATTTTTTGAATTTTTGAATTGAGAACCTATCCTTCACTGTTCTTCATATCGGATAGGTCCTATCAGAAGAACAATGAGATCAAATACCTAGTGTTACAATTATTCAGTTTAAATTAATTTTATGAAACGGTGATATATAATGATATACATTAATATATAAAGACACACATCATATATTAGCAATTATATCATTGATATATCCTTCGAATCTTGATTAAATTAATAGTTTGATTGATTGCAAATGTATTAGCTAATATAGTGTCCCAGTTTTGTCGTGGCATCCGTTAATGGCAGTTTCTCGACATTATTTCGAGATAAAAATCCTAATGCTAAAATGTGGAGGCTGTAATAGTTTTTAAATACGATGAGTTTAAAGTTAACTAATTAAACTATTCGAAATTCACGCGCTCAGACATGGCATTGCCCAGTAGTGAAGATATTTTCAAGCATTGTCTCAATTCTGCTTTCGAAATTGATATATAATTCTGTGTAATATGTTGTAATTTTTCCTTTATCTTTATTTTTATTTTATTTATACATAGATTGTTAATTTATTATGATAATAATAAAATAAGAGCAGAATAAAAAAAACACTAATTTCAAATAAGGCGGTTATATGTATACAAATAAATACGGGAAAAGGGCCAAGTTTAGCTGAGGTTAGATATTGGTGATCAATAGTATTTTTTAAATTTCAGTAAATTGTGCGTCGATTACTGTTGGCCTTTTAGAATGTCATTATAATTAAAGAAATAAACCTGAAATATAGTATTGTAAATTAAATTGATCATCAATTCAATGACGATGTTACAAGCGTCCTAAACACTGTAAAGGATTTATTGTGAAAAATATTACTTCAGTCAGGATTCGAATCTGAAATTTTCTAATCCAAAAAAGGTATTTTACCAATTCAACTTCTAAGGCTATGATAATATTTATCGTAATAATCAATATTTATAAGGAGGATATGCATTGAAAGAATTAAAGATATGAGTATTGATTCTGAAACGCGATGTATATCAACTATCATATAAAGTGTATCATAAATAGATGACGACTTTTACTTAAGGGGTTACACCACCTTGAGCGCCTAAAAATCATAGGTAACTTTGGGAATTTTTTTTAGGAAAACAATAAAAGTAATACA